CCCTGTGACACCGGGTTTTTTTTGGTTTTTTTGTTTGTTTGTTTTCCTGTTTCAGGAGTGCGGGAAGATGGAAATATTGGGAAGAAAAAACTTTTCTTCTACCCTCTTATGGTCTGTATCTGGGGATCTGCAAATTAAACTGGAGTCCAGAGCTGCCTGCTAAGGATTTCTTAAATTTTCTCAGTGGTTTACTCTTAGACAAACTGAGGAAGTCTGCAGTGGATGAGTGTCTATACGTTCTCTTCCGTCTGTTCTTGCTGCCTCTTCTCTTCTCGCCCACATTCTCCTCCATCTTGACCACCCCTCTGTTCTCTCTTCCAGGACCCTGACTCCATCATGGAAGCCAGAAGTGAACCTCATGACCCAATTGCTCTTGGCCGTGCTAGAGAAGTGGCAGTAAGTTTCTGTTCCTGCTCTAGAATGGTGCCTGCCCAGTTCTGGGCTTGCAGTAAATCTGTGAATTATTTCTGGGGCTGCCACTGGACTCAATGTTCATATGAAGTTTTCTGGATGTGACAACAGTCTTCTCTAGCCTACAAAGGAAACCTGGGAGTGTTTTCTTGTAATGGGGAAGACTTTTCTCACGATGACTCAAAAACTTTCTGAGGCCGAGAAGTCCAAAGTTCATCTGGTGGTGGTGACAGTAACCCAAGGGTCTCACATTGCAAGATGGTGGGGGCAGAGAGAGCACCTTTCATCTTATTTTATATTTGTCCTGCTTTTTAGATGGTTTTTGTTGTTGTTCCCTCCTTTTTCTATTCCTTTAGACCAACCAAGACTGTTTTAAAATTAATGTATTTCTCATTTGCAAGTATAACCCTCTACTTCTATTTTTGTGTGTCATTATGCATATTTAACTTATTCTAAAAATAATCTTTCTTCTCTTTCCAAATTTACACTTTAAATCCCTCGTTTTACATCTTATTGTCTAGTTTCTTTTTAATTACCCCAATGAGACATTATTCTTTTTATACAGTCATTTGTTTTGATGTATTCATATTTACCTAGGGGTTTGTTTCTTTTGTTTTTGTTTTGTTTGTTTGTTTGTTTTTTAAGGCAGCTGGCTGGCTGCTACAGGAATTGAACCCTGGACCTTGGTGTTATCCACACCACACTCTACCCAGCTGAGCTAACTGGCCAGCCCTCATTTACCTAGTTCTTTGTTCACTGTTCCTTCATGCTTCTCAGACTTTTATATATAGTATTGTTTTCCTTTCTGAAATTCTTCCTTGGAAGTTTCTTTAGATATAGGTGATAAAGTCTGTTTTTGTTTGTCTAAACACTTATTCAACTGTAGAATTTTCTGGCCTTCCAACTGTGAGTACAGAAGATCAGAAGCATTTAGCTATCTAAATCACCACCTCCACTATCCCTGTCCCCCCAGCCAACAGGTACTGAGTATCACGGGACCAGAGACACACAGGAGTGCTCAACTATACAGTTTCTCCTGCTGTCCTCCTGAGGCACATGAGGCTACAGCAATATGCACTCATTAATCGAAAACAGCCACTATATATTGCAAAGAAACCTAGAAAGTGTGGAAAGTATATAGAAAGTGATTCAGACACAGCACTTAAAACCGAGGGAACTCATGCTTTAATAGACACTGAAATCACAAAGGAAGGCCAAGTGCCTTAGCAATCTCAATAAAAATATGAAGTTCTTTTTACACGGTAAATTTTGTAATATAAAAAGTTTAATGCTGTCTGGAAACTGTGTAATTTACAAAAACAGTCCACGTAGGCCAAAGATGGCTAACACTGCATATAAGGAGCGTGAATGCCAAGTGAGGAAGTCATCTGAGGAGGGAAGAGGGGACCACAGGTGTTTCTGACGTGGAACATCTTCGAAGAATCTGGCACAAATGGGCCCAGTTCACAAAACACATGTACAATCATTTTAGATAAAACAACAAAATATGTGATGAAAATTATACAATTTTCACTTTTTTCCCACTTACTGAAAACAAGCCAGATTATTGCATGGTATTTTTCCAACCTGAACTGAAACTAACAGAGCTACAGTTTTCTTGTGGTTGTGCAAGTGTGCGTGGCTGGGAGACAGTGGACAGCAGGGACTAGGGATTTGCTGCAATGCTCACATGATGACAGCAGAGTCAGGACCTTGTGGGTGGCATCTGCGTCCTGCTGAAACCCAGCAAGTTATCAGTGCGGACCGTGAATATTTAAAAAGTGGGTTGGAGGTGAGAACCATCATTTTGCTGCACACCGATGTCGATCAGAATGTAAGTGTTAGTAGCTAGTTTTCTCTTGGTATTCTGACTTAGTTAAAAATCATCAAAGTATCTAAGTAGTTTACTGGTGAAAATTAAGTTAGAGTCTACTACCTGCTTTGTGGTTGGGCCAAGGTTTCTTAAGAGGGGAGGTTTTATTGCTTGTCTTCAGTGATGTAGTAGAGTCGGCAGGGCATTCCAGTTTCCTGAGCTATAAAGAAATCCGTCCAATGCCATCTGCACGTGGTAAGCAAAAAATATTTTCCTAAATTCTACTCACATCCATTGACTCCTTCCAAGTGGAGTGAAGAGCAAAGGGCTACTCAGGAGTCATTTGCTCATATCCGCATGGCTGTCACTTGCTCAGGGCTCCTGTGCACACCAGGCAGTCTTACCCACTACCTGACACTCTACTCTGTAGAAACACAGCATTATTCCAATAGTGTTTGCTGTCATGCATACCAAGAGTCAGAAAAGTTTTTCCTAAAAGGCCGCATATTAGATATTTTAGGCTTTGTAGGCCAAGAGGCAAAATCAAGATTATTTGTAAGTTCTTACACAACTGTTTAAAAAGGTAAAATCCATTCTTAGCTCATGGCCATAAAAAACCAGATAGCTGACCAGATTTAGCCTGTGGGTCATAGTTGCCAACCCCAATCTACAAAGACATCTTTGTGAATTATTCAGTCACCCATAATTTTGAGTGCATAATTTTTTCAGGATAGCCTGAAAAATTCACTTTGATTTTATGTCCATTTCACTTATATATAAACACAAAGACTGACAGTAAACATGAAGCCGTGACTCTACAGTGATCTTTAGATTGGTCCTATCATTTTATCACCTTTGTTTTCTCTTCATTAAAACATATCTAGGACAAAAAAAATCACATATACCATTTGGCTCTTCAATATGAAACTTAAAACAAGAATGTACTTGGTACTAACAGCAGGTTAGAGTCCACGAGTCCTCCTAGCTGGCTTGAAAACCACGGACGAGGTCCGGGTGGTGGAAGGTGTATGCTAGTGACAGGCACACAGGGCCACAGCCTCATCCTCACGGATGGAGAGCACAGACCCCAGGCCTTTACTGCAGGGCTCCTTGGCACTTGGGAAAGAGGCTGAGAGATTTGTTGAGAAAGGGACAGCCTAGCCATCCACATATAGATTAGAAATTTGAGGTTTATTTTTTGTTGTTGAGGACCTGATTTTGCTACCTAAATGCACAGTGCTATAAATTTGGCTTTCATTTGCTACACTAGTACTTTTATGACCATTTTTCCCTACTAATATAAAAACATCCTCATAATTGCCTGCTTTTTTATAAAATATTTCTCTTCCAGTGTTGGGTTCAGGGTTAGAATGTGACATCCGTATTGTTTGCTTTTGTCAACATGGCTGTTGGGTTAAACATAAAAACCGCTATGACGTAGATCAGGAGAAAAACACAAATTGGGTAAAAATTGTCCTTTCTTCTGTTCCGAGGCAGGTGAAGTAGTCGGTGCATGCTGACAAAGTGAGATCCTACCCAGGGTAAACTCCACCTGGGGGGCTTGACGGTACCGCCCCTCCTGCCAGGCCCCTTAGGTCCACTCCATGTGTTGCTGGTGTCCTGGGCCAGGTGGCTGTCCACCTTTGTGTGCTGTACCCTCACAGTGAGGATAGTAGGATTTCAATTTTATAATGATCTAAAAGATACTTGTTTAAATTCTCCAACTAGACTTAGTGATATGATTTTCAGCATTTCAGTTTCTTATTAAAATAAATTAATGGTTACCCCTAACTAGATTATTCCCTTGTCTCGCCCCAGCTGGCAATAATTTAAGTGCTATATGCTGGCGTAGCTATAGGAAAAGTCCACTTTCGCTTTCTATGATAAATTTCCTTGTTTAGCAATAATTTGGATGTATATCTCAGCAAAAGGCCCCCTGCTTTTCAGGATATGGACACTGTCTTCTGTGCCAGGGGAGGGGCTTGTTCTTGAAAAAGCAGGAATGAAGGCGGCCAGCTACAGCAAAGAGGGTCTGGCCGCAGCTCACACTGTTGGGGGCTAGGATTGTGGGAACCTGGCAGTGGATTTAGGTAGAAGATTTAAGGGCTTGGAGTTGAAAAAGAGAATAAAGTTAAACAGCTAATAAAAGGGAATAGGAGCTGGAAGTCTAGATTCTGGTTAAATCTAGTTAGCCATGGGAACTTTTTTTTTTTTTTTAAAGCTTATAAGGGAACTGAATTATTTCAACATTTCCCCCCAAACTTGATAATTACTTATTGATGACTATTCAAAATTTGACATTTTAAAAAACTTTTTGAGCTTTTAAAAATAATAGCTATAAATGCAAAGTACTATTGATAATAAAACCAAGTTGTTCATCCATGTACAAAAAAGGTCAATAATGTTTTAAAAGCACAAAGTTGCATTTTAAATCACAATTGCATAGTTCTAAACTGCCTGGGTAAGACTTACATAAATTTGTAAGAAAATTCAAGTTTGGTTGACAGTGGGGCCCAAAGGACATTTGCAGAGCTCAGTAGAGCAGAGTTCAGGATGGAAACGCTGACTCAACATGAATTATTGCATTGTTGCTGTGATGTTAGATTGTGAGACCAAAATTGCTACAATTTAATTACAGATCATTGGCATTTTTAAAAATCATTATTCTCTTTTTGGCTAATATATCACTTTCATGTAGAATTCAACTTAGAGAGATTTTATATATCCCACCCCCAACCAGCACCTGAAAGCCTTAAAAAAGCTCTGTTTGGGTTTCTGGATAGAAAAGGTACTGCATATATACCTCTTAGCAAAATATGTGCTCCCTTTCTACTCCCCACCCCAGAACCATGACCATTTTTGTACAAAATCCTATTGAAGAATCACATCAAAAATGAGAAGCAGGGAGTTGAAAGGTAAACATTTGGTGTAGTGTGTAAAATTCCATGAGCCTCCTGTACTAACCCCACAGAAGTCCTGGCTTTTGGTGAATCTGGCCCAGAAGTGCCTCCGTGTGTGGTAGCATTGGGCGTGGTAGTGCCCCTCACCCAGAGAGCCCACCCATGGTGAGCTGTGTGGAGTGACTGTGCATAGACAAAGGAATAGGCAGCCGTGGATACCGAGACCCCTGTCTGCAGCTACTGCATCTGAGTCAGTGGGTATAAAAGGTGCTTTAGCATTTGGATGAAGGAAAGAATCTTCCAGGGGACAGGAACTTGTAGCCATTTCCAGAAGGAAGCCTCAAAGGGCGTGGCGGAGCTGCTGTGGGGGTGCCGATGGGCAGTGGCAGCGTGCTGAGTGTGGTGGTCTCGGTGCGCCAGTGTCCATTAGGAGGGGCTTTTCGTGGTGCTTCCTCATGTTGCTGCAAAGACAGCTCCTTAAGTTCAAGCTTATCTACTCCTTCCTCCTTCTTGTGCCGAGGTGACAGGTTTAGTAGACTGAGGACATCTCTTTTGGAAGTCATCGTTCCAGGGGCCCCACGGAATATTTTCATTGGTCCTGTGGGGTGCTGGGGTGTGCTCTGCCAGAACATCTTCAGGTTGTGGACGGCCTGCACTTTTTCATCAATGGCTGCCATTTTCAATCTGTCTATGTCGGGAGCATCTGCAGGACTCGAACGAGCAGAACCGGCTGAGGAGTAGGAGAGCGCTGGGGATGGTGCACTACCAGCAGGAGACTGATGGCCTGAGCTTGGGGACATGTTCCGTGGTGACTTGGAGATATGAGCACTGTAAGGAGAGCTGGGATACTTCAGTTTAAAGAGAGGCTGGTCCACCAGGGAAGTCTGAGAGTCGGAGCTCGGTGATGGCTGGCCACTGTGCTGGTTTGGGCTGTCTTTGATGGATGCCTCCGAGGTGGTGGGGCTACTATACCCTGAACTCACCTTGGGGAGGGAAGAGCTCCTGGCTGGGGGCTTTGGTTTAACAGTAACTGGCGAAGGCTGGCTCTTCTGATGGGAGAGGGCAGGCCTGCTGAACGCACTTGTTTCTGACGCTCTGAAGACGGCAGCATTATGTGGCACTGAAATGCCATCTTCTGGGTTACTATTACTCTTGCTCACCTGACTGCTGCTCCTCTGAAGACGCTCCACTGCAATGAGGTGACTTTGTGTCTCCTCTAGAATTTTCTGGGCTAACTCTTGTGGATCAAGCTTTGGGTTGCCTTCTTCTTGAGATTTCACGGTACTATCTGTTTCTGTGCTAGACTGATCTGATTCTCCTGTATCTGAACTTGCTAGTTTTCCAACCTTTTGGAAAGGTGAGTTTGGGCTGGGAATCAGAGTCATTTTAACTGGAGAATTCGGAGTGCTTATGCTCCCCTTGGAGCTTACCGAAACTTTCACACCTCCAGCTGTCCCGATGCTGCACTGTTTGGGATCTGGTGAGAAGCACATCTTTCTGTTTTCTTGGTAGGCCGCCAAAGGCTCAGTACTGATAATAGAAAACCCTTCATATTCTTCTTCATCTTTGTTGCCGGCAGGGCGGGTCGGGGGAGACAGCTGGCTCCGAGGCAGGGTGGATCTCTGTGGGTAAGCGTTCTTGGACTGGTCGTAGTCCTGCCGTCCTCTGGGACCTCCACTTTCTGACCCACCCTCAGGCTTGGAGACAAAGCTCATTGAGGAGGCAATGGAGCTTAGGCTGTACACAGAGATGGCGTCTGAGGCGATGCTGTCAGCACCAGTGGGAGAGAAGGGAGGGTGCTGGTAGCCCAAGGGCAGGGCATTGGACACAGACTGCGCCGATGCCAGAGACTCCAGGGAGGAGGAGCTGTCCAGGCTGAGGCGCTTGGGTAGCTCGGTAGAATCTAAGCACAAAACACAAGTGCCCAAAGGGCAGTTAGGATTCTACATGGTTTTGATTTTTCTTTCAAAATCACGAACATCTTTACATGCAGAGAAGCTAGCAAAGAATTATGTAAGTGCTACTTATATACAACTTGAATTAATCTTACAATCCTGAAAAACTTGGACCTGTTGGAAAAAGAAGTAAATCTTACACAGGGACAAAAACACCCTGGGAACTCACAGCCAGCCACACATGCCTCAGACCTCCACCACCATGGCCCATCTCCACTCTGCTCCTTGTTGCTGGGAGGCCATCAGGAGGACCCCTGCTCTGCCCAGGGCTGGCTGTGCTCCTGGGGCCAGCCTTCACTTGGCTCAGGGCCTGCGAGCAACCTGTGATGTCTCACAGTCCTAAACCCCACTCCTGTCATCCCCTCCAGCTCCAGCCCCATTGCTCCTTGTTCCTGTAAAGGTCAACAATGAGGTCAACACTGACAAATCCAGTGTTCACCGCTCAGTTCTGCAGTAGGACATGCCCTACCTTCACTGACCACTCCTTCCTGGCCCGCCTCACCATTGTGACCTGTGAATATGAGTGCTGCCAGGACACGGTCCTATTCCCCTCTGCCCTGCATACAGCCCTGGGGGACTCCATGCACGTTTATATCTCCCTGCTGGCCTCTTCCTGAACTCCAGCTCATGCAACCAGCTGCCTGTGTGGGTGTCTGATGGGTATTTCAAAACTGAACATGACCAAGGTGGATCTCAGACCCATTCCTCCTGCCACTTTTCTGACCTCAGCAAACGCAATCCCATCATGGCAGTTGTTCCAAAAACCAGGGCTCCCTATTCACCCTTTCTTTCTGTCATGATGCACATTCTTCAATAGACCCTGTTGGTTCTGCCTTCAAGCCATGACCACCATCTGGGCCAGCGTTTACTCTTCACGCTGCAGCCAGCTTGGCCCTTTGAGAACATGGGTCAGGTCGGGTGTGGCCCCCGGTCCTGAAAACCTCCTCCCAGGCCTGCCTGACCTGTGTGTCTGCTCCTGTCAGGCCTTGCTCGCCCTCCCGGCCCTATGGAGGGACAGGCGAGTCCCGTCACCAAGTTCTGTCTGGTCTGCTGCCACCCTCTCTCCTTCGAGTCCCTTACCCTGCCTCAGGCTTCTTCATAGTGCTTGTCAGCCCAGTGTGTGTACTACACGTATTTTAATTGTCTCCCCCACTTATTGCAAGTGCCATGAGAGCAAGGAGTTTGTGTTTGCTGCTCTTGAACAACCCCAACATATACACAAAATAATGTTTAGTCCCTTTTCTTCCCTTTCCTAAATTGTAGCTGAGGACGTAGCTTCCCCCAGGAGGGAAGGCTCTTACCAAAGAGAGACAGCAGGGACTGGAGCGCAAAGTGCACAGTTCGTCTGTTGGCTTGTTTCCCGGTTTTCAGGATTACTTCCTCCTGACCAACTTCACAGAGATCAAAACCTAGAGGAACAAAGAATATAAACATCTGCTTCCTTAGGGAAGATTCCACATCCTGAACATGGTTAAAGCCACAGGGCTCCTTGTACAATTTCATGGGAACAGCCGTGAGGCCCATCAGCAAGCACTGGGGTCTGGACTTTTCCCTGTGTGCCTGTGCCAGTCACATGAACAGGGAGAGTCTGGCCATCTCGCCCAGAACATCCACTCAGTGCAGCTCCCGTCTGTGCTGTGTGCGGGTCTCACTGCCCACTCTCCTGTTTCCTCACAGAGCACTGGCCACTTTCCTGCCCTGAACTACATTCTTGAGAGCCAACGATCAGAACTTAGTATGGTTCATTAACATTCTGTTTTTTACATTCTTTGGCAGAACAGTCTACTTAAAGACTGTCCAGAACAAAAAATGGTCATTCCATTTGGCCTTGGGTGCAGTATTTAAGGCTAGTACCTGGGAAGGTGGAACTGCTCAAGGTCAAGGACAACGTGTGCATGTGTGTTCAGTGTCAGCCAGCATGGGCTCTGAGGTGAGCTCTCTCTGATGATGGAGAGTCTGCTTTCTTGGCTGAACCACCCTGCAGGGACATCACTCTGACTCAGCCCATGCCCAGGGGCGCTGCTCCCTGATTCTAACGATTCTAATGAGACTCCAAGCAGGTACAAGAGACGGCACGGAGCTCCCTGAGCAAGAGGCTGGCTTACGAGCTGATGACACAGCAGTTAGACTTATGAAGCGACATTACAGAGATGCCCAAGTGCATCTCCCTAGGAGGAAGCCAAGTGCAGATGCCATGGAAAATGGCTGCATCCACAGACAGGCAAGAACTGAGGGCCTGAAGAGTCTTCAGCAGTGAAAGTCTTCACTCAGCCTCCCTTAGTACATCTTTTCATTCTTATTCCAGGATTCTGATACTGGTCTGACACTATCATTCCCTTTGGAATTAGGTTCACTGGAGGAGCCACTCAGCATTCTGGTTGCTATGGGACGTTTTCCTCTCTGAACTGAGAAATAAACAGTCCCTGAAAGCAACAGGAAGGTCTCAGACAATTCAGCATTTAAAAATGAATGGCTAATAATATAAATGTAATGTTTCCATTAAGAAACCTCTACTTTTGCCAAAACGATGTGGTTACTCCAATTCAAATCTTTCTACTTTCAAAAAAAGTAAAACTTAGTCCTTTATATCACTGGCAAGGCTGTGAAGGGTTTTGATGGTGGCTGCTGATGCTGAGGATTGGAAAGGGGGCATTTCTCCAAGCCCAGGAGCCCTCAGGGTGAGCCACAGGCGTGGACCTGGTCTTTCTTACTCTTGCCTCCATTTGCTACTGACTACATTTATTCAGATATGTTAACTATGCTTACACCAGGAAGACTATGCTTCAAGTCCACAGAAAAAAAGCAAGCATTCTAGCTTTTAAAGGATGCCAAGTGTCTAGTCCAAGGGGATTCAGAGCCCCTGAAGGGCTTTGTGAGTTTCCCCCTTTAATTTCAAAAGACAATGTATCTGAAAACAAACAGAGCCAGCCCTAAATTGAGGTGGATTGCGAAAGGTCATCTACAAAATTGATTAGAAAAGATGGCCCAATACTGGATACCCAGGCTTCACAAGTAGGAAGAAAAGATCCTTAAGGATTCACTGTCCTACCATGTGTGATGGCTCGTCCCTGTAACACTGAAGTCAGACTGTGTCACCTTCCAAAGGCTCTCTACCTCCCTCAGGTTAAAGTCCAAAGGCCACCCCTGGCCTCACAGGATCTTCCCTTTGCCTCATCTGCCCTGGCCTCATGGTGTGGCTGTTCCCTCTGCCTGGGTCTTCCTTCCTGCAAAAATCCTGGTCTCTCTGAGGCCGCCCTAGCTCCCTGCTCCCACCCGGCAGCCAGTCACTGAACTAGTGCTTCTGTCTGTGGCGGTGCCCCTCCACCTTCTATAAAATCCTGGTCTCTCTGAGGCCGCCCTAGCTCCCTGCTCCCACCCGGCAGCCAGTCACTGACCTAGTGCTTCTGTCTGTGGCGGTGCCCCTCCACCTTCTACAGGGCCCCTGAGCTATTGCATTTATTACGTTTGTTCCTCTGCTCCCACTAGGGTGTAAACTCCAGTAGGGCAGGGCTTTTTTGCCCTTTGCTCACTGCTGCATCTCCAGTGCCTAGAGCATTGCCTGGCACATAACAAGTGTTCCAGAGGAAGCTGTGGAGTGATGGCTCCCAAGCAGGTCACCAGGCCCTTAAGTGGAGAAGGAGGACAGAGGCTCAAGGCCTCTTGTTGTGTTTCATTGACGAATGCACCTGTCATAAGTAAACAGCAATGATGTCAAGAGCTGCATCAGCTGTTCTACAAATGGTGAAAAAAGAAAAGTGAGACCCCTGGACTGAACAAGGACCCTGCTCCATGCAGTTCCAGGTGCCCATGGCCACGTCAGAGGTGGCTTCAGTAGTTTTCCTGCCAGTTTCCAGTAGCCAGTGAAACCATTCTTATATAACTCTAATTTTAAGTTTTCATTAGCTCCTAATCACGGCTTGACCTCCAACAATACTGGGATCTAACGAATTCACATTAAGGTAATGAGTACAAATGAGAGAGATGAAATCATAATGCAAGGGGAATGGGATGAAGCTGCAGGACCACGTGGGAATCATGCTGAAGCACTAGAATCTTTAACTATTTTTGAGTAATGATAAATTACCTAAGAAAACTCTAAGAAAAGGCCCTTAAGGGTCTACCACTTTACTCAACAGAAACCAGGAGGAAAAAGCAGATTTTAAAAAACAGAATTAAAGGGCCGGCCCAGTGGCACACTCAGTAGAGTGCGGCGCTTGGGAGCGCAGCAGCGCTCCCGCCGAGGGTTCGGATCCCATATAGAGACCGGTCCGCTCACTGGTTGAGCACGGTGCGGGCGCGACACCGAGGGTTGCGATCCCGTTGCCGGTCGCGGTACGGGAGTGACACCGAGGGTTTTGATCCCGTTACCAGTCACGAAAAAAGACAAAAAGGAAAAAAAAAATAGAATTAAAGAAACCCATTAAGTCAAGGATGCTTTGTCCTACCAAGAGCTGCCAGGAATTCGTGACACCCCGGGAGCCGCCACAGCTGGACACTGATGGAGACCTGGACAGGAGCTTGTGCAAAGTCCTGCTCCTTCTCGCCGGCCTGGAGCTGAACCAGCACCTGGTGGAGCTGAGGAAGGGAGGACAGCCGTGAGCACCATCCTGCCCCGTGTCTGCTTCCCCTCCAGCCCACCGCAGGACTCCACCTGAGTTATCTTATGTCACCTGTCATTGCCATCGCTAATTACCCTCTCATCTGTGTGCCATTTGAGATTCTTTTTAAAGTGGCTTCATACCTATCGTCCTGCTGTCTGTCCTCTCTGTGGGAAGCCGATGGGGCAGTGGGCAAGAGGGTTGGGGTGGTGAAGTGCGGGGTGGTGAAGTTTGGGTGGCCTCCTGGGCTGGGCGGCCAACAGTCAGGGTTCTGCTTCCAGCCCCGTGCCTTCCCTCATGTGCAGGAGAGGGGACCAGGGTGCAGAGGGAAGTGAGTTAGAGGAGTAGTCACCTCCTTCTTGTTTTTACTTCTTTATTTAACATCATCTTTAGAGCCTTGAGGCAAATGGTTTAGAGGGATCCAGCATTACATCCTAGAGTCTCGGTACGCGAGGAAGAACCCAGGTGACCTGCTCAAGTGTCCATGGTGTGTCAGATCAGTGGCCTCCCCTCAGGTCTTTGTGTGGGCTCACAGTGTTGCTCACTTAACGTTGGTGCTGCCCCTGCTGTTCTGGTGGAATTTAAGGTGAAATCAAGGACACAAGAAGGGTGGAGCAGGAAAGGGGGAGCCAGAGCACAGGAAGGGGACAGGCCGCCTGGGCCAGAGGCACAGGCCCTGCGGCTCTGTAGACAGCGCGTATGCCAGAGCTCCGAGTGCACCAAGGGGAACGCAGGGATGGGAGGGTTGAGGGGCTCACCTGACAACAGTTGCTACTTAAAGTAGTACTCACCATTCCAACCATATTTTTAACAGCCTTCAGCCAGCAGATTTTAAGAAAAAGAAAGAAAAAGAGAGAGAAAGAAGAGAGTTTAGACTCAAGCACAGGCTGTTATGCAACATGAGCTGATTACTGCTTTAGGAAGCGCCACTGGGCCGGCCCGTGGCTCACTCGGGAGAGTGCGGTGCTGATAACACCAAGGCCACGGGTTCGGATCCCATATAGGGATGGCCGGTTCGCTCACTGGCTGAGCGTGGTGCTGACAACACCAAGTCAAGGGTTAAGATCCCCTTACCGGTCATCTTTTAAAAAAAAAAAAAAAAAAAAAAAAGGAAGCGCCACTGACGGGGAGGGAGAGGAGCAAGAGTCAGGAGGGGACACAAAAGAAAATGAATAGCTACACTCAGGCCAGCCATGAGCAGTTTCAAGGGGGTTGGGACAGGGTCAGCCAGGCTCTGCCCTTCCTCACCAGTAGAGGCTCAATCAGGGAGGGGGCATGGTGGGGCATTTATAGGCCACTCTGTAAACCAATATCTCGTTCTAGAGGGACTCAGGAAAAGCCCACCAGGTGTCTGCTGCCGGGGGCAGCCTCAGGATGCTTCCCTGGGGTCTTTTTGCATATCAGGCAAAAAGTCCCTGTGCTCCCACCAAAAGCAGGAAATGAAGCGACTGGCTTTTTTGGACTCTCAGCCTTGTCCTGCAAATGCAGTAACGTAATTCTTTCTTTTACTTGTAGAACACACATTTCTAAACCTCCTGGGTTCAGGATATTTTAATATGCAATGTCTGGAAGTGTCTCCCTGATGCTATACAACAAGGAGATGTGACACAGATATTACAAAATGAGCAAGAACTCAACAAAGGGGACAGGTCACTAAGCCGTTCTACGTTCAAAACTGGGGCTGGAACCAATCCCAGGCCATAGGAGGTTCCAGTCACCACTTAGTTTCAGAGGTTAGTCCTAGATGGAGCAGCTTTATTTCTACCTAGAAACAGTTCTGCTTAAAATGAAACCGACAACGTATATTATTTTTTCAAATTATTGTACTCCAAGATGACCAGAAAAACCTGCTCTGTGCAGGTTCTTCTGTTATACCCTCCCAAAACCCGGCTGTCACCCTGGGGCTTGTTCCAGATGCTCACTGGCCGGCAGGAAGATCAAGGGGCAGGGAGAAGCTCTGGGGCCAAGTTGCGAAGGGCCTTACATGATGCTTACAAGAATTAGACCTTCCAAGAACTAGAATCCTCCAAATTCCTGACTTAGATCTACATTTGCCTGAAAGACAGCACATCTTTAAAAACTGCTAAGCAGCATCTCACATTGTTGGCTTTGTGTTCACTGCTGTGCCTCAGTGACTGTTTTCTTTCTGGCGTTGCACATACTCTGATCAGAAAATGAGTTTTGGATGGAACAACTGTAGCTTTCCAGCCGTGGCCCTGCTACCCCTCCTGGCTTAGGAAGGTGGCTGTAATACTTGTCAATCAGCTGGAAAAGTTGGGGGTGGGGATGGCAAGGTGCAAGAAACCACTGAATGGAGGGTTCAGGAAATTCTCTGAGACTACAGGTGACAGGGGCCCCAGAGGTGAAGGCTCTCAATGTTCTTAGGGCTCAGTGTCCCAAGAGGTCGCTACAAGAACTTGCCCTTCCATGCCCAGCACGTGCCAGGAGGGCTGTTCTCTTACTCCCAGCCCTCACCTTTTCCTTTTAATCACAAAGGCTGGAAAAAGCAATGACATGCAGGTTCTTATTTTGGGCCAGATCACTCTGTCTTTCCATTTCAGCACAGCCCTCAGGACTGGGCTCAGCCATCCGGGCTCAACTTACCCGGCTGATGAGCTGCTCGCCCGTCTCTGATGCAGTAATGAGTTTGCAGAGGGCTTGGAGGGCAGGGTTGGGAAGACCTAACCCAAGAAAAAGAGAGTGGAGGTTATTCAGAGGTGCCTCTGCACCCACAATCCTATCATCTTGCCAGGAGAAAAAGCCTGAAACGCTCTGCATTGGTGACATTTTCCAAAAGTGTAGCATGGCCAGACATGTGCATTCGAGTATGACTTGGACAAGAAGAGTGTGGTCTCCAAGGAAGGCAGGTGGAGGCCAGGGCGAGTCCTGACCCTGCTGCAGTCCTCCAGGTGCAGTCGCATTCCCAGGTCTCGCCTCAGGGGCTCAGGCAGAATCACTCCCTCTGAGAGGAACACAAAAGGCAGCCTGGGCATGTGTCCCCAGCTTCAACCTGGGGTTGGCCATGTGGTTTGGTCAGATCCACAGCTGTCAATGGCACTATCAACAGCAGCTGAGTTTTGCCCAGCACTACCTCATGCCATCCTGGGAAGGGGCAGGGCCGGGCAGCACCTGCTCAGCACAGATGCCTTGCTATTACACACAGGTCAGGAGGGGAAGCTGTGCCTGGAACTCCTCGTCATTTCTCAGGACACCCTCTGGCTCTTTCCTAGCTATGAGACCCAATGTCCTCATGAAGACAGGGGTTTTTTTGGGGGGGGTGTTATTCTGCTCCCACTGTTAACCAGTCCCTCAGTTGCCTCAGCTCTGCCCCAGGCCTGCTGGCACAGATTCTGTGCCCACGGCTCACCTAGCAGGGACTGGATGGTGCTGCTGCACTGCTGGAGCCGATCGCCTGGGTCAGAAGTTGGGAAGAAGACGGCCGCCGGCAGGCCGCTGGCCGGGGGGTCCAGCCGGAAGCCCACGGCAGTGAGGAGCGCCTGCCAGCCGGGGATGCCGCCCACCTTGTTCTCCACGCTCTGCTGGGATGTGTACATGGCGTTGCGCTGCCCATTCTGGATGCGTTGCAGGGACTTCTCCACCTGGCAGGGCATGGGGATGAGTCAGAGACCCAGGCCAGCCTGCCTTCTCTCCGCGTGGCTTTGAGGGAACACAAGCCTTAGGGGTGAAACAAAGCTGGCCCTGCCACCCCAGGGAGCCCCTGTGGCCCGGCCTGAGGACATGACTACGGGGCATGAGCCAAGCATCTTGCAATGGCTTGCATGGTGCAGAGGGGAAGGGTTTCAGAGCCAGCAAAGGCTGGTACCACTGAAGGACTCTGTTCCTCCCCTAACCCACCCCTTCTGCTTCAGGTTCTCCATACAGACACTAACATGACCTGTCTGAAAACAAACCTCAGCTCAGCAGCCTGCGCCACAACACGTGACAGCTCCCCATCACTGTAGCATAACCCTCAGCCCTAAAAGACCCCTTCACTGCCCCACCAAACAGTGCCCATCATGGTGTGGCCTTAGCTGGCAATGCCCTTCTCCAACTCATCACTGTTCGTCCCTCAGCACTGGCCTCTGGAACCTACATCTCCTCACCCACAAAGCACCCCTCCTGTCTTCCAGGGCTCAAAGAGGTGCCTGGCACTCATGGGCTAAATTCACCCAGGTAACTACTGTGTTCACTCTGCACAAGCAACCAGCCTTGCATTGGCCTTTGCCTGGCAGGCCTCTCTCTCCAGGGTAAACCTCTGTCCATCCTGAGACATTACATGCGTGCCTCAAGGCTCATGTGCCATTACTGCAGGGGCACGAGGGTCTTCCAAAATGTCACTTGAGGCTTTTCTTACAATGAAACACTGGGATGCACGGGCTCAGTGCCCCAGGCAGGAGAAAGTGTGCACTCACACCAGCCAGGAGGAAACTAGCATTCCTGGGCAGGACAGATGACCAGCTCCCTGGCTGTCCCTCAGGCCTTGGAGATACACTGCCCATGGGGGCTGGTGAACTTGACCCACCTCAGGAGATAAAGCCAAGAAAGAAGAGAAAACCTATACATGTGCCTGAGGGGCCTCAAGGCCAAGTGGGCAGCTGAGAGGCCTGGCCTGGGAGAAGGAGGCCTAATGAGCAGAGAGGGCAGTTCCTTACCCAAAAAAGCAGTCTGGGGATGGTAGCAAGGAAGGAAGGAGGGATTTTGGGGGTGACAGGGACCTGAGAGGGGTCCTAGTGCAGAGCAACTGAAAGGCTCTGTGCAGTTTCCAGACCAGGATGACATCAGTGTAGACAGTCTCCCGGCACTCTCAGGGCATGTGAACTACCTCAAACCTGGCCTGAGTGCTTCTCAGGTCACAGTGTGCTCACCTGTTCACACACTGATTAATTTTAGACCTGAGAAAACCTTCAGGCAGACCCTAAGATTACAAAATGTGCATGACTTATCTCTCATCAGAAACGCATCAAAAACCACCAAACCCAGGCCCAGGCATCAGGGGTCTGGAAGGCACTGTTCAGGCCTGTGAGGGGGCCATGCGGCAGCTGTTTGCATGATGTTGGAAAGCACTTGGATGTGGCATGACTGTCCACCCACTGGGACTGGACCAGGAAGAGATGGGGTGGGCCAGGGCTGGTCTTTCTGGCACAAAACTCTAAAGAGGCTAAGAGTTCTAAATTATTTGAATCTGCCTTCCAGGTTGGTAGCAAGGTAAAAGGATGGAACAAGTTTTATGTCACTATTTCAGTTTTGGGGGGTTTTTTTTGGCAGGTGGCGGTATGGGGATATGTCACCCTTTTTTGACTTA